TAGTTAAAATGACCTTCTACAATAACTTCAGTCAATACAACCATAAAAGTATCTACAACTATACGTTTTCTTATTATTACACAATTCAGCTCTTCAAACCAAAAGTTACGTGTTTGATGAAAAGTTGGCTTATAAGCCTCAAAAACCAAATATCATGACTATCAAATGAGCGCTATATATAACGTTGTAGTTATATCATTTGCTAAATTTGACAATTCTTTGAAGATAAGAAAGTAAAAACAAAACTATGAAATTAGGATTTGGTTCTTTTACTTAACTTTAACAACTGTAGTTTTTCTCATTTGAAAAGTTTGTCAATTCTTTGGAGATGAGAGATTAAAGTAAAAAACTAAGAAATATGGGTGGAAAAGAAGGTAAATTTGGTCATTTTACTTAACTTCAATAAGTCCTTAAGTGGCCTGTGGACGTTTTCTTTTGACCTCGAGGTGCATCTCTGATCTATGTGCTAGCAAGGCAATTCTATCAAAAATCCAAATGATGAAAATATGACGTATAGTTGTTGATAAATACTCCGTATAACAAGTCAAATATAGTAACCTACGGATTACCAACGCAATTAGCCGTTTGACTTTCTTTTGATGTCATTTTAGAGGACTCAACCATCTAAGGACTTGCAAGATGCATGACTAATTGCCTACAATATTGAACATAAAATTAGATTAAAAAGAACTAATTCCTTGATTGTTCACGCGCACCCAACTATTAAGATAGAAAAAACAAGCAACCCAATGTCCCAATGGTGCATTTTAGACAGCCTGTATGGCCAAATATATATGGTTCCTGCTTATTTACTACACATACAAACCTACCTACCTACATACGAAGTATATGGTTCATACATGCATGAATCCCCAAACACATGTGACATGTGTGTACACACATCAAACACATACATACATAAGATCCCATCAAATTCAGGTGAGATCTATTGAGATTATTTATGTATTGACAATAATTTCTTATTATTAGTACATCTAAAAAGTGTCATTTATTTTTCTAATCAAATTACTTACACTTTCAATAGTAAACTTTCTTATAATTATAATTATCCCAACATAAAAAATGTACTATTTTCACGATTTTTATGTAAGTTCAAGGGCATATCTGACTTTTCCCCCTTTTGTTGAATGCTTGAGAAATGACAAATGTCAAACTTACTCATGTATGAGAATATTGAAGGTGAAAATAAAAAATCACACAGTACGGAGTATTATTAAAGAAATTATTCTACCACTAAGCTTCTCAAAATGGGCAAGGGTCAACCCAACTGACCAACCCAATATATGGAGCCCAAGGCACGAATTGCCTTGGGTCCAACTCAAAATGTCCAACTAATGCGGACCAAATTAAAGGAACATTACATGTGAACTCCATCACGTGTATATAATAACATTTCAGATTTGTTAAATACGAGGGTCCTAAAAACGAACATTAAACACAACATTAGTCATTAATGTACGTACAGAAGTTGCACTTTGTTTACCAAAAGTTCGCTTAATCACTAATTTTTTTAATAGACACTTAATCAGTAATCACTAGTTTAGGATTTTATGTATCCCTTTCTTATGAAGTCAGCATTTTCTAAAATACAATAGCGACTTTTGAAAAAATATAAGTCAAAATTAATAAAATGTTGCAACATGAAGTACTTACCAGGCTAAAATGCGTTCGAAAAAATACACTATGAAATACGAAGTATGAATGATCAAGCTAAGGAGTGTACAGTTTTGTTATTATGCCTGAGAAAGAAAAAAATTATATTATGGGACAATGACAAATATCTACAAATTTACATTTTCTGAACTATACTATCCACTTAGAAATGCATAATTTAACATTTTAACTCCACGAAATCAAAGAATTGAGTAACTTAGCACCATGTAAAAAAAATCCATTGGAGATCTTATTTTATCCCAATATTTATTTTGTCTAGGTGTCAATGAATATTTAACTAATTCACATCCTCATTAGAGATTTTCGTATACCAAACTAGCGAACTAATATTTCAACGCACTCCTTCGAAAAGAAAAAATCAACACGCAACTTCATCCCAAATCAGAGATAAATAGATCAAGCATATCTTTAACAAACTACTCTAAATAATGCGTGTCAAACATACAATTAACGCCAACAGGGCCGGCCCAGACATGTAGAAGGCCTCATGCAAAATTGAATATGAGGCCTCAAGTATAAAACATTATATTAATACTTCCACCGGTTTTAAATAATAGTCTCCTTAGATTTTTTGTGGGTTTTAAGAAGAAAATAGTAGGTGTAGTATAGAGGTGTAAGGTAAATGAAAAAGTAGAAAAGAGAATATATTAAGAAAAGTAAAGTAATGACAAAGTATGAAAATGAAAGTAGTTACAAGCTCGTTCCAAACTGTACGAGGGCTTTGTGCTAATTACTGTATCTAGGCCTTGTGAAATAAAGAAATTACACAATTGTAACTAACAATTGCATTTTAATTACATATAAATATTACTATTTTATGATTGTATTTAAAGAAGTACTAAGATAGGAATTTTTAATCAAATAAATTAAATAAAGATTTATTATATTATACGAAGTATAGACTATATTTAAAATTTTGAACCTTCTAAAATCGAGAGGCCTTGTGCGGTAACACTTCTTGCACGCCCTCATCTACGGTCCTGAACGCCAACTCCCAACCACACCTTACTTTTTTTTTGATGAAATGTAAATATATATTAACATCCAAGCAAAATTTAACAAGTACAATGTGTCCAAAAATCTAAAGTCTAAAACCCCCACCCCCTCATATTTCGTGAGAAAAGGAGAGGGTTAGGAGAGGCTTTTAGTCTAGTCTAAATCCAAAATAGCCAATACATGCAGCCCAAAAAATTCTAAGTCTATGACCAATGCTTCAAGGTGCACGCACTCGAATACAAACTGTCTAATGCCGTGACATTCAAAAAAACATGAACCTTGTCAAAGGTTGATCATCTCATATGGGTAGATACTATAGAGTATCTTGTAAACCATATGCTTGACCTTTGCAACAACATCATCTTTTGAATTTTTTCCTTCATCAAATCTAATAGAGTTCCTCGCATGCCAATATGCCATATATAGTATGCCGCGGCACAGAAGGCTAACCGGGCTGCCTTTGCCTTCAAGTTTGCTCCTTTGCGGCTCTTCGAAATCCACTTGATCGCACTAAGCAATGTATTCATTTGATGCCCAAATCCCATCCAGCTTTTGATCCTCTCCCACACTCTTATTCATATTAACAATGTACTACTGTACTACGGAGTATATTATAGCGTAAAAAGTAAATCTAATACGGAGTAGGATGAATAATTAATGATCTAATTTAATATACTACGTAGTACAGAGTAATTGATAATTTTATACTCTTTCAACGTGTGACACATACATCAGTTATAATTATACTAGTCTTTTCCAATGTCCACTCGTATCTAGACCTGTCAATGGGTCGGGTCCGGGTCGGAACGTAGTGTTCCAGACCCGGACTCGCTAAGTAAATAAAGGACCCGGACCCGACCCGTTTACCCGGCGAGTCTAAAAATTTGGACCCGGACCCAGACCCAACGGGTCTCGGAACCGGGTCGGGTAGACCCGCCAAGAATCATATGCACAAGTGCACAACATTATATAATTTTTTAAAAATAGCAAAACATGTATATGAAATGTAAATCAAAGCGCACAAATTTAAACGCAAAATATATCTTCACTTTTCAAAAAAAAATCAAGGTTTATCATAGAAAATTAGTACTTTTATTGAATAAAATATCATTTGTTGTAGATGCATACAATTCCGCACTTTGTGTCTCTTTCTCTCCCACAGAAAAATCATATATTAGACTAGAAATTAAGTCACAAAAAGTTCTTTTGGACTAAAAGCATATTATATACTATTATATTATCACTTATACATTAGGTATGTATTAATTTGTATCTTTTTAATCAAAGAATTGAAACTAATCACTTTATATATATATATATATATTAGTTTGTATTTTTATTTGAAGTATTATAACTAACCTCTTTATGTATTAGTGTGAGTATATATACTAATAAGAAATTTTAAACGGGTCCGGGTCCTTAACGGGTCGGAATCATATGTACCATATCCGACCCGTTTATTAAAAGTACTAACGGGTCCGGGTTCGGGTCCGGGTAAACGGAATAAAATAAGGACCCATACCCGTTAAAAACAACCGGGTCCAGGTCGGGTCCGGGTCTAGACCCGACCCATTGACATTTGACAGGCCTACTCGCATCTCCACTAACCTCTTTCATTTTCAATCATATATACTGAGTGTTTAATAAGTTGTTCACGACTAAGAGCATCTCCAATGGTAAAATGCGCACGGTGCACACGTGGCATGAGAAATGACCACATAAATATTAGTAAATAAATTCTTTCTCTCCTTATTTGAATGATTTTATACATTTTTGGTAAGTTTTTCTCCACAATGTCAAGGAGACCGTCTAGATGTTGACATTGTTGTTGACATTGCAGGGAAAAACTTATCAAAATTGTATAAAATCATTCAAATAAGGAGATAATAATTTATATGTTAATATTTATGTGGCTATCACTCATGTCATATGTGCACCGTGCATATTATAACATTGGAGATGCTCTAATCAGCTAATCTAATTTGAAAGTCCTTTTCAAGTGATACATTCCTTCAAAATAAATGTTAAAAGTTGTAAACAAGTGTGGGAAAGACTTTAAGTGTTTCTCATTCCACAATCAACATTTTACATTTGTCGAGACATAACATTGACTATTAATATATTTAATTCTTTATTAGTAAAAAAATTAAAAAATTAAATTTTAAAATTTTATAATGAAACAAATTTAACAATATTTTTTTCAAAAAATGTATTAATATATTAATAAATAAAACTTAATCATAATAAAACATGTGAATAGTGTAAAATTCAATATGTTGCATTTATTTAAAAACGGATGTAGTATAATATACGGAGTAATTTTTATCAACTTTTATTTTGTTTACATTTTTTTCAGAAACTAAAAAAAAACTAACCACATTAATTACAAACAAATGTAGCGTTAGACTTGATTATATCTTTGAATGTTGTTTAAAAATGGCACACTTTTTCAATCGACAAGTCTTTCATTTGTTCTTCTTTTTTTGTGAAATTGAAAACAGGGGAAACCCAAACTAATCTGGTCCTAAACAGAGGCGTAGAGCTGAGGAACGAAAGAAAACCATCTGAAACCACAGCTCCATTTGTCCGGCAAGGACGGGCACCTCGGAAGCCAATGCCATGTCTTCCTCGACACCTTATAGTACAGAATCTCCGGCCATGTGTAGCAGCAAATGCAGACCAATCCCTGATGCCAGAAGCAGTAAACATGCTCGTAGTTATGGTAGCACACCGACATCAGCTTCCGGCACATCATCTCCGGCACACTGTCCCCCTCCACCTCCGCCCACCTCTCGCCGCCGTCTTCCCCCTTCCTCTCCCACAGCTTCATGCTCCTCGAAATCCCATTCCTCCCCACACCCCCAACCAGGTACAGCTTCCCGCCGCCGGCGTCGCTGACCAGCCGGGCGAACGTCAGCTCCGCCGCCGGCATCTCCATCGCCGCCCTCTGCCACTCCCCGGAGTCGAAATCGAAGCAGAACACCCGGAACGGCTCGGGGGTGATGAAGTGCAAGGACCCGCGGTGCAGGATCCCTTCCTGGTGGTGATTGATGCAATTGGCGAGCGCCGGTTTGAAATCTTGGAACTTCCGCCATGAATGGTCGGAGGAGTCGTAGACGAAGGTTGACTTCCACGGCGGCTGGGATGACTTGATGACCAGAATCTTGTAGCTTCCGTCGGGGAGGGAGGCCAGGGTGAGGGAATCTATAGAGAAGGGCAGGATCGGGAATTTCACGAGCCTGGAAGTGTTGGAGATGAGATTGGATATGACGAACGAATTGGAGTTCTGGATTGAGAAACAGAGGAGGCCATTGGAGGACGACAGAAGAACAGGGGAGGGGAGGGAGATGGAGAGGTGGCGCCAGCTGCCGTGTACGGTGTCGAACAGAGGGTATTTCCGGGAAAACTGGGGGTGGGATAGCAGGAAGAAGGAGGAAAAGGAGGAGGAGTAGGTGGTGATGAAGGGAGGAGAGAAGAGGAGGGAGTGGAAATGTTTGCAGGTCGATCTCAAGCTCAAGAAGGTCTTCAATGGCAGAAATGAAAGGACTCGTTCCAGTAGATCTTTGGGTATGCGTCTCCATACCTTAGGGTCCATTACTTCATCCGATCTCATCTTCTCCATCTGTCCCACACAAGTACTGGACTGAATTTATATCAGATTCTTTCTCTATTTTTGGTATATATGAGGACTTTTCATTTATAGTCGGTGTGAAATATAGCCAATAAAAAGGTTTGAAAACACCAACCTCTCTTAAAGAGGTAAAAGAGGACTGGATTTTTTTCTTGCATACTCCGCGTTTTTTCAGATAAGTCTATAAGTTGGAGTGTTGGACCATCCTAAAGGAGATACGGAGTAATAAAATGAGCAATTTTTTTTTATCTACACACCGTTTACACTTTACATAGATAATTATATTGACATTTTTTAAATAAATTGTATGTGTTCATAAGTAATTAGAGAGTATATGTATACATTTCTAGTGTCTTTCCCAATAAAGATATACTATAGGCTATTTGTATTTCTCCCATTGGATTTTACAAACTTTAAGTTAAGTGTGAAATAAGAAATGTAAAAACTATTTAGTTGAGGTTTATACAGAGAAGAGAGAAATTTAAAACAAAGTGTAGTGTGACAGAAATAAATGTTTTGATTGGAGTGAAATTTTCTATTCTAGTTTCCTCTCGCTTTGCTTGATTTGTTTAAGTCTGATTTAGTTCGATCTGAATTGGTTTATATGTCTGTTTTATGTGTACTTTTCTACTAATGAAGTCTTATCATGTCTAATGTGATTTGATCTATTTAAATCTAGTTTGATTTGACACAATTAAAAAATGTCAAAATTTACTTTAATGTTCCTTCATACAAAGGTTGTTTTGGTCTTAAAAGTCAATCTCATCCTCCATTTTCCTGGATCAATGTTCAAGGTTTATTTCCATTCTTATGATCTATCTAACAAACAGTTTCTTTTTTGACTAATAAATACGTTGCGTGTACTTCGTATTACATAGTGGTGGTGCAAAGGTGCCAAAGATCGAGTTCAATTGGCAATGATTTGGAAAGGTGCGAAGGTGTTAATAAAACAATTTTGGTTGCTTGATTAACCTTATGCATTGATTAGTTGCTTACATCTTAGGTCATTTAGATGTCACGTTCAATGGACTGCATTCTTTTTTTGAACCACACAAAAACACAAATTAATTACCAAGTAATTCAAAACTATAGTTTTAAACTATAGTAATTTAAAATTATAGTTTTAAATTGCATTAATTTCCCTAGATCCTTTTTAGATAGACTAGATCAGATTAAATGAGATCAAATTAAACCATACATGATCAATTCAATTCAGACCAAACATGATCAGTCAAATTAAAACATCCCCAATCAAACGTATGGATGTCCGGACCATGTGATATTGTGACACAAGTACACACAAGTGACACAACATATGGTAATGGTCGGTTTTAAATGAATCGATTCGGATAAAACGTACTCCGTAATAGTTTTGATAAGTTCTGTAGTTCAAACATACTCCTAGTTTTATACTACAGACTTTTTTTTGGTCATATAATGATTCTATTTTTGTGACTACATCTGAAAACATAAATATACAATTAAATCATTTTCACAAATACTACGTATCTTTTTAACAATGAAGTACGGAGTATATGATACATAATGTTTTTAGTGAATAGAAAGTCGTGTATGTGTAAAAAAGTTGTACAAAGATATTACTACGTATAATTAAACAGGTAAATCGTGGAGAAAGTTTGGACAATTGCCAAATTACCAAAGATTGAAACATGTTGCGTCAAGGTCACAACTCATGCGTGTTCAGTTGGACCTTTGGTGTATACAAGCAGAGGCGTAGACAGGGGTGGCCATCCTTGGCCATGGCCCAGCCCAAATTTTAAAAATGCCTAAATTTTTAGGGTAAAAAATTCCGAGTAATTTTTTTTCAAAAATATTCTTTGTACCGGTCCAGTCCGGCCCAGTGTCCTGGCTCCGCCCCTATATACAAGTATACAGGGACGGATCCAGGATTCTGAGTCAAGGGGGGCGAAATTTTTCGTTAGTGTAGGGGGTGAATTTTTTTTGTTAGTGTAGCGGGTGAAATTTTTTTCCCTAATATAGCGGGGCGAAATTTTTTCGCTACTGTAGGGCTATGCGGGTATTTTTATTCAAAAAATGACATTAATATATGCACATCCCGAACGACATTTAAATCTATTACATTCTAAGTTTAGACGATGACAAAGACATCAACCAATACATTTTTAATAACTTCTACATTGTTTAACCTCATGAATCGGTTATTGAATTGTAATTTTTGTCCACCAAGGAGAGTGTTCGTGAGTCATGACTCATGAGAAGTTTTCTTAATATTACAATAGCAGTATACTAGTATGTATGAGATTGTTATTTTTAGAATAATATGCACCACACACACACACACACACACATATATATGGTGCATATTATATTTTAATATTTTTATTAATTCTATAATAATTTAGAGTTTATTATCCATGCAATAAATTATTTTTAGAAAGCAAGAAGTAAATGAATTATGTAATCTAATGTCTACAAATATTTATATTTTGGATTCATTTCACGTGATCTAAAAATTGTGTAATTAGTGTGTTTGGTATTTAATATTGTTTGATATATGTTTTACGAAATCCAGCACTTGTTATCTAACAAAGATAATTAAACATTACAAAACTAGGAATTCTTATATAATAAGTATCCTAAATCTTAAATAATGAGTTACTCTATTGTTTATTTGTTTAAGTTATGTAAATTATTTTAGATGTTTCTTCTTTTAAATCTCCAATTAAGTATTACATTATGTAAGACTATATATATTAATTTTGAAAATTAAAATCTAAGGGGGGCGAATCTAATTAAATTATGAAAGTTTTATGAAAATATTACATATATGGTAAAAAAAATTGAATGTCCAAGGGGGGCGGTCGCCCCCCGCGCCCCCCCCCCCCTAAATCCATCCCTGCAAGTATATGGTCTCTATCAGAGTAACTATGATTTACCACCTTGGATATGCTTTGTCGAGTTGAAACTTGAGAGCCTTGAAAATCCACTTTTTGTACAATATACTGTTTTGCAAAAATTAATAAATTAATACGGCGTATCATTGAGGTCTCTTTTTTTAAATATAATTAAGGGAAAATGGAAACTAATAATCCAACCTTTTAGCGGTCTTCTTACAATAGTCCCACCTTTTGATTATTCATGAATAATCCAACCTTTGCACCTCATCTTCATTCATTGGTCCCTGACCGGTTGATGACCTGCTGTTCCAAGTTATTTTCTTATCTTTGCAAAATATTATCTTTGTGAAAGGTGAGATTTATAGTATAATGGTTTGCAAAGATAAGAAAATAACTTGGAATAGCAGGTCATCAACCGGCCAGGGACCAGTGAATGAAGATGAGGTGCAAAGGTTGGATTATTCATGAATAATCAAAAGGTGGGACTATTGTAAGAAGACCGCTAAAAGGTTGGATTATTAGTTTCCATTTTCCCTATAATTAATTAATTAAACGGAGTATGGGCCTTTAAAGAAACTAGGCATGCTATCACGTTTTGGATAAGCTGAATACAACTATGAGGACACCTGTAATATTGAGATGATTAATACGAGTAAATCATTACATAATTATTAATACTACTTTTTCTCTCCTTTTACTTTCAATCAATTTGAGAACTCTTTATGTAAATATATTTACATGAATAACAGTCTGTAAATACCACTCAGTATACATTACATGTTCTTAAATAGTAGAAAAAGAAAACGTGTTGAATTTTACAGTTTACACTATTAACATATTTTATCTTGATCGCATTTTATACTAATTATAAATTACTTTTTTTTGAAAAAATATCGTAAAAAACCTCTCATTTTAAAATTTTGAAATCTGAAATGTTTAAAAAGTTACTCATAAAAAATGAAATATATCAATGGCAGTGACGGATCTTGCAACTGGAAGTAGGGTGTTAAAAAGGCTAGCAAAAAGGGTTAAGGGTAACAATTGAAGAAAATATATCAATGACAGTTAAAATATTGCACAATAATATTTTTTCGATCTCACAATTGAAGAAATGTAAATTTTTCAACAAAAGGCTAGCAAAAAGGGTTAAGGGTAACAAATACTATGTATTATATAAAAATGAAATATATAAATTATTATATCAATTCTATACATGTATTTTTACGTTTTGTTTTCAAAATTTTGGATGTTCGCCTGAACACGTCTGTCACTAATCAATGGCAAGAGTTGGGCATTAAAAAATATCAAAATGGAAATATTGCAGCTAAAAAGTTTAAAAAGTATATATTAGAAAAGTGGTTTTACAAATGAAGAATTTTGGGGTGCAAAATAATGATTTGTTTATTGCTTGGGGTATCAGTACAAACGAAGGCAGTATATATACACGTTCTCGTACAAGCCCATGGGCCACTTAGGCAAACTAAGCTACGTTTGAGTAATAATAATACAAAGTAATAATAAAATATTCCAACCCTCCGTTGGAGCATGCAGATTACAAATGCCCAACTTGGAAAGAAGATATAAAATTGTTGTTTGCCTAAAGCCTTCCTAAAAATATCCGCAAGCTGATCGTGCGATGAGACATGCTGAGTAGATATCAGACCATCCTGAATAACATCACGAACATAATGACAATCGACTTCTATATGTTTGGTGCGTTCATGGAACATATGATCTGAGCAATGTGAAGAGCAGACTTACTATCACAATACAACTGCATGGGCCGAGAGTGAGACATGTCGAGACTAAATACAAGACCTTTGAGCAATTTCAACTTTGTGCCATGGAGCGATACTCTACTTTTGCGGAGGACCTAGATACAGTATGTCGCTTCTTAGACTTCTAAAAAATAGGAGACCCTCCAAGAAAAATCAACCAACCGGTAAGAAAACGCCGAGTGAGCAGACAACTGGCCCAATCAGAATCACACCATCCAGAGAGAGTCACATCACAAGTGTAGTTGAGAAGTATGCCCTGACCAAGAGACCCCTTCAAATACCACACCACTCTGAGTGTCGCTTCCCAATGAGCACGCCAAGGTATTTACATAAATCGGGACAATATATGGACTGCGTAAGCAATATCGGGACGGGTAAAAGAGAGATAAATAAGGCACCCGAGTAGATGACGATAAGACTCCAGATCAGATAATAAATAATCATTAGCTAGTGCGAGAGAGTGATTTTGCTCCATAGGAAAACTGGCGGGCTTGGTACCAAGAAACCCTACCTCAGCCATGATGTCAAGCATGTATTTACGGTGATAGAGAAAAATACCATCCGCATTACGAGCTACTTCAATGCT